TTCTTCTTCCTTTTGGAAAGCCTTTACAGTTCTGTCAGCCTAAAGGCATCATAACTCTTCTTTGCCCTGAATTCATCATATCAATTTTTGAAAGGTCAGTTCATTCAGCTTCATTTCATACAAACAGGTCAGGCAACAGCACCAGAACAAAGTCAGGACGATAAAAACTTTCTTATATTTTAGAAATTGATTAATAGAAAATTAAAACACGAGAAATCAAATAAGTAAACTGAACTTTTATTTATTATTTTTTCTATTAATAAATAAGTAACTCATAGTACCTATTTAGTTATTTTTTGAGCAGTTGTTCGACGAAATATTGAGAATTATACAGTACAAAAATAGCAGTTCACTACTGAATTTTACTATTAGCTTCTAAGTTAATGCAAAGTTGACTATGCGAGTTAGAGAGCATAGTTTAATAGGTTCAGATTTGTCACAATTACCGATACCCGCGGAAAGAGCAGATGTGGAAAAAAATGTACCATTACCATTATTTTTAACAATTGTAAAATAAAATACGATATGTACCATTTCAGGGAATAAAAAGCGGCATTGTACAAACTAGATTCCTTGTTCCATGACTAGAAATAGGTAATCACACGCTTGGTCAGGCATTAAATGCTAACTTAATACGAACACAATTACTCTCATACCCACGTAACATGCGTAGATTGCATTTCAGTTAATTACAATTGTAATAGCCCTCCTAGGTAATTATGTTAAACAATATTTTGATGAACGTATCAAAATATTGATTGCATAATACGTATTTGGGTGTGCAACATCAATGAAGTTATAGTGACATCATTTAGAGTACGCCTAATTAAATATTGCATGGTTTTGATTTAAAAGTTATTAGTAAAATAATAGACTGCCTCGACATGGTTTCTCATGCATCAGGGTGCGAGTTCGAAACCTACCAACAGCAAGTACCAATGTGACTTTTTCCGAGTTATATGTACTTTCTAAGATTATTCAGACACCATTGATAAACGGTGAAGGAAAACATCGTGTGGAAACCTGGGCTTATAATTTCTAATTATAAGTTTGTAATCGCCAACCCGCATTGAGCAAGCGTGGTGATTAATTCTCAAACCTTCTCCGTGTGAGAAGAGGCTTTGCTCAGCAGTGGGCATTTTTAGGCTGTTGATGATGATGAGACTGCCTCGTTGGCCGAGTGGTCGCAAGTGCGACCGGACGTGGGGTCTCGGGTACGATTCCCGGGTCGGGCAAAGCATTACTGGATTTTTTTTAATTTTCAAGAAGTCAGTAGTAACACGGATGCTGGAATCGTGCCCGGTATATGGCAATAGGCTCACCCCCTATAACATGGGACTCATAACATAAATAGTGAAAAGTGGGTGTTACATTGTACAGTGGCATTAAGTGCCGTAATGTGCACCTCTGCCTACCCCTTCGGGGACAAAAGGCGTGATGTCCAATATGTTAGTTTTACTAACATAGTAAAATAGTAATTAATAATAATAAATATTATTGGACATTGTTTATGTAATTCTTTGGTCGTAGGCTCATTTCTTGTTGTAAAATCACGGAGCTGATAAAAATAATATTAAAAACTAGCTGTGCCCGCGACTTCGTTCGCGTGGAATAGTGACTATGAGCAGCGTTTTTTTTAAATATATACTAATTTTTATTTTGGATCATAATCACAGTCATTTTGTATGTATAAGCATAGAATAGTGTTCGACGTGATGCTTTAATTTGACATAACTTTTTTATTTATGAACCGATTGACATGAAACAAACACTAAAGCGTAACTGAAGCATACCACAATATATTCGTGAAAATGCATCCAACTCGGATCAGCCGTTTCTGAGATTAGTGTGAACAGACGAACAGACAAAAAAAAGTTAATTACATTTTAGGGTTCGACATCGACATAACAATAACCCCTGCTATTTTTTTTATTTTTATTTTCAATGTACAGACAGCCCTTTTCTACAATTTTATTATATGTATAGAAAACGTAAAAAATAATAGTTCTCAAAAAATTAAACCGCTTATCACTAAACCGATACAGATACTAAACAAAATCAGAAGAAAAAGAAATCAGTTTCACTACATTTTATTCAAGCATTGAAGATGAACTGGAAGTGACGCAGATTACATATAACTCCATGATATTCATGCAAATATGTAGGTACGAAAAGCACAGCCAGAAATACTTTAACGGTGCGAAGGTCGAGTCGCTTTGCGTCATAAAAGATTGTCAGAAAAGTAAATTCTATCCAGACGGAATGTTTTATACCCCTATAGTTGTGTCTACGTTATAGTCCCATAGATTATGGAGACGACTATACAATATCAACGGTGTTGCTTGCATTTGTTTAGTAATCGCTTAACGTCATGGTTCTTGTAACAATTTCTATAAGAATGTTTTAGAAACTTTGACAAACTAATGCCGGAATACTGAAACGTTACTCAATTTTAAGTCGTGCTCAAATATCGTGCCATCTCTGTCATTTTACAAAGAATTTGTAGAGATAGAACTATACTTAAGCACGACTTAAAATTTAGTAGCGTTTCAGTATTCCGACAATAGTGATTTGTTTTTTCAAAATAATATATTGTTAGGAAAATCATGAGCAAAGCTTCCTATGCGTATTACTTATTACGACAAAAATAACAAAGGTGAACTAATATTTCTTAAAGCATAGGTACATACAATTTAATCCTATCGAGTTAATTTTTCGATTCTCGGCCTTACGTAAACGGTTGATGAATGAAAATAGTTTAGTAACGTAAATTCCGGTGAACCGCCCCCGGGCTTTGCGATAGTGTTGGGATGAGGAGCTGATACAGACACTTGTAAGTAATAACTGTCATAGATTGAAACGATTTTATACTCCGTTTAAATCCGTTCCTTATAAATAATATAAATTGCTACTTTTTGTTTAGTACACTAATTATAATTGGACCCTCGCTAATACTATAAAATAATGCGAAAAGTGATATATGATCTGAACACAAGTTCTTAATTTTGAATGTGGTTAAACAACTTATTCCAGTTACTGGCTGCCTCGTTGTCCGAGTGGTCGCAACTGCGACTGCCAGGCAAGGGGTTTCGGGTTCGATTCCCGGGTCGGGCAAAGTATTACTGGGTTTTAAAAAAAATCTCAGTAGTAGCACGGAGTCTGAAATTGTGCCCGGTATATGGCAATAGGCTCACCCCCTATTACATGGGACTCATAACATAAATAGGGAAAAGTGGGTGATACATTGTACAATGGCATAATGAACACCTCTGCCTACCCCTTCGTTCGGGGATAAAAGGCGTGATGTTATGTTATGTTATGTTATGGTCACTTACTGTTGACTAATTCGCATAAGAGCTAGTGTTGTTATAAAAAGGGATTGAAGATTTTGTATAAATTAATTTGCCGTCTACAGAGTAAATAAACAAACAAAAAATTAAAGAGCAGTCTACAAAGCAAATCTCAATTTCAACCAATTATCATAATTGTGTAACCCACAGACAAAAAGAAACTAAAACATTTGCGTACGTATACCCACAAAGAATTATCTCAGTCGAATTTACTTCAAAGCGAATTATTTTTATGCAGAACTTTGCATTGTAAGCTGCCTTTGTTAATTACTACAGTAAATTAGAACACAAAGCGTACTCATTCTTAAACTGATGTACAATGCATTTTTCCTTACTTTTGTGAGATATTTTTTTAAACTTTGGCCCCGTGGTTGCAAGTGCGACTGCCGGGCAAGGGGTCTCTCTCGGGTTTGATTCCCGGGTCGGGCAAAGTATTACTGGGTTTTTAAAATCTCAGTAGTAGCACGAACTTTGGAAATGTGCCCGGTATATGGCAATAGGCTCACCCCCTATTACATGGGACTCATAACATAAATAGTGAAAAGTGGGTGATACATTGTACAGTGGCACTAAGTGCCGAAATGTGCACCTTCGGGGATAAAAAGGCATGATGTTATGTTAGGTTATTTTTTTAAACTAACTTAATTTTTGAAATTAATGTCTAAATAATCCAACGCCATTCAGTTTTAAGTGGCAGCTACTAACGCTTCTGACCACAACATACCACTAGTTGACATCACTAACACGAATCTAAACCCTGTTAATGCAACACAACATCAACTAGAAGTTTAATCACTAAAATGTTGACACCGCTGCACTAGCCCTCGCTAACATGGAAACTCATTATGACATCAATTTCAGAGCGCCATCGAAGCAATAACTACACTTTCGATGTCACTTTCAGAGAAAATGGTTAATTAATTTTTCATTCCCATAACAAACGACTGACATGATTGGACAAACTGGTTTTTATTAACTTATAATTGCATTTTTGTGCCTATATTTAATCAGCAGTAGCGTGTGGTTATGTGATGACGTTGTTCACAATGTCTAGATAAGTTTCTTTTAGTATCTACAACTGATGGATGACTTGCATTTTCTATGCAAAATGATATGTTTAAATATGTGTTTGTCGAGCCTTCGGAAACTAAGCATTTTGAAACATGTACTTAACCTTGCATTAGTTCAAAGTATTTTTTTTAAGGGGGGGAAATCATCAAATGACTGCTCCCGCCTGGGTGAGGCGGGAGGGAGTGTCAGACTCTTACTGACTAAAAACCACCCCGTTCCTTCTCCTGCACGTCGAGCCGGAGCCCCGGTTACTCGTTAGGTTCTCCGCGACTAGTTCATAGTATAAACTTTCAAATTACACAAAAAGTGTTAGATATAGAACCGTATCTATTCCAGACATCGAGCCGCCTAATAATATTAAGAATATACAAGTACAACGCCAAGAACACTTGCTTTACCCGGCATCGAACCTCAGAACCCTTATTTAGTAGATGTATTTATCACTCGATCAAAAAACAGCTAGCGATCAACTATACATTTCCAATCAATGAATTTTTAAATCGCTACTTGAATCACGACGTAAGCTTTATGACGTCAATTATATATGTATAAACTAAATTGCAACATTTCCTTCATCAGGAACTCTGCTGGCATACACCCTGGTGTCAACCTGCGTGCTGGTCCTCCGTTATCAACCTCGAACGACGAACCTGATTGAACTGCTGCCCTCACACATCCGAACTCCTGTCGACCCTGAAGGCACCGCCAGCGGCACCCGCGAAACGACGTTCACTGTGAGTTATAAATTATAATTAATTAATTACATTACATTGAAGGAATGGTTTAGTAATGCAAACTGTCCACGGGAAACTAACTAGTTCTTAACTACAATTGAACCTATGAGCCCTGCCGTGGCTCGAAATTTACGTATGTACGACGTAAATGTTATTTATGGAAGTTTCATTAGGTATAATATACACAAATCTAATTTATTGTTGTATTTATAAAATATATATCAAAAATATTAAAGGATCAGTCCAGTTGCATCAGAAATAAAAATCGGTAGCAATATCCGAAAATGACTTAAAACCGGGTCAGGTCGTAAAACTAGATCTTTCTGCAAACGAGAACAGCAACAGAAATAGAAGTAAAAGAACTTTATTTGAACACTAAAAGCGTCGATAATGGAAGTTAGCAACAATTTTCACGAAGAAGCGCAGGGAAGCACTCAGAAATTCCTTTCGAAATCGAAAAGTTCGTTTTTAATCGTAAACCCAAAAAATAAAGCGAGATGTTGAAAAATTTCGCATTGGCTACGTTAAAACGAGAAGTTTTTCCGAGTTGCCACGAAGTTTGCGGATTCCTTTAGATATTGGCCAGTAATTAGTCGCCGGAGGAAGATAAATTGTAACAAGAGAAATAGTTCGACATTTGTTCTTGTTGTGCTCGAACCTCGAAGTAGTCACCACTCGGTAGGTAAAATAACTAACATTTTCTTGATGAAAATTAATATAACGCTGATTATTTCTAGCTTTAGGAACTTTACAAAAGAATTTGTGTAGCTTTGGTTAATTATAATAGTTACTAATATAAAAAAATGTTAGGTACGAGTATATGGTACTTTCCTACTACATATTGGTTATCAGTAAACTGTTATAAGCTAACTACAATTTTCAATAAATTACAAGTTGATTATCTCTTCCTTATACACATCTACGAATCTCCTATTTCTGAAAGAGCTGTTTAAACCCGCCAAGAGTATCAACAAAGCTTGATAATCCAGCGTTGCTTAGAAATCTTGATTGAGTGCGGATCAAGCGGATTACGAGGATACATTAACGTTTAAAATGCTTTATATGTTCATGGAGTTAGAAATAGAACAGTCTAAAAACATACATACATAATATCACGCCTTTTATCCCCGAAGGAGTAGGCAGGGGTGCAAATTACGGCACTTAATGCCACTGTACTATGTAACACCCACTTTTCACTATTTTATGTTATGAGTCCCATGTCCTGTGGGGGTGAGCCTATTGCCATATTCCAGGCTCTGTAATACTTTGCCCGACCCGGGAATTGAACCCGAGATCTCTTTCCCGGCAGTTTCACTTGCCAACTCGGCCAACGAGGCAGTCAGGCAGTAAAAATATGTCGAAAGTATTAGTAACACATAGTAGGTACGTATACTCATTTTTCTCAATGCAGGATTTGAGGATATATAAGTTTATGTGCAAAACTTAAAAATCAAACCTAACATTAAAATACTTAACATCTATTATATTTTCCCAATATTTATTAAGCTCGTGTTCACTACCCACCCACAGCTACCTATTCAAAAAATAAGCGATTCATTTAAATGTCAATGTGAATTAGTCTAACTCAATCCCGAAGTCTTCTGAATAGCTTCTCAACGCACGATACGATGTACAATAACGGACGTGTGTAAATAAAACTATTCCTTACAAAAACCTACTTACATACAAACATGACCTAAACCAACACATTATTCACGGAAAAAGACAAAAGGTCGAAATTTTATTCTAGGAAACTCTTTTTCGTAGTATTTGCTGCCCACGCGTAAACTTTAGTGATCGCAAATTAATCAGAGTGCCAGAGACTGAAGGGTCTAAGGGTCTTTAAGACCCGAGTCAATAGGTTGCTTTTGGCCAGACGTGATCTATCCTAGTCCGCATCATCGCTTAACACCAAGCGAGATAGTGGTCAAACGTCGACTCAACACATATAAAAAACATAACATAACATCACGCCTTTAATCCTCGAAGGGGTAGGCAGAGGTGCACAATATGCCACTGTACAATGTAACACCCACTTTTCACTATTTATGTTATGAGTCCCATGTAATAGGGGGTGAGCCTATTGCCATATACCGGGCACAATTTCAGACTCCGTGCTACTACTGAGAATTTTTAAAAACCCAGTAATACTTTGCCCGACCCGGGAATCGAACCCGAGACCCCTTGTCCGGCAGTCGCACTTGCGACCAATCGGCCAACGAGGCAGTCAACATATAAATAAAAACATTTACAAAATGCAGGCTCACAACAAAGGGATACATTCAATAAATTTTGCTCTATCCACTGTGTAAATACTAGGCTACATCAAGGCAGGATATTGCTGTTTTTTCTGTTTGTCGCCCACTTTTGATATTAACGTGACTTTTGGGCTATCTAAACAACGGTACAGGCTGCAAAATTCTGTTTGTGGAAGTAGAAAAGCCAAAAAGCTTTATGCAACGAATTTTGGTCCTTTGTCAGATATTTCGTTTGTATTTACCAGTTTACACAATAGCGGGTAGGACAATAGATGACTGACTTTTAGTTGGAATGTTGCTAAATGGTAATTAGTAAGTTAAATCATTTTAAAAGTAAGTACAATAAAATAAGTAATTTTGTACCGAGTAATGACGAAGCCATAATACTCGTATCAACTATAGTACATAGGTACGTTTACAACGTGTTTCATCTAAATATAAACAACGGTATGATAAAAATATTTTCTCGTTCATTCATTACATTTACCGAAGTGAATCATTAAATAACTCTCAGCGTCTCAAATCCGATTAGTACGTAACAAAGGGAGGAAAATTTGGCTTTTTTAGAAATAAATATTGGAGGACACGGGATGTTTTTTTTTATACATTGAGTGATAAGTACAGTTATGTAAGTACATGTACTTATTATGTTGATAAAATTAGAACCGACTTTAATACTATACTACTACATTAGTAATCTTTTGGAATCGATTTTTGACTATATACAAATATAACAAACTCATTCGAATAATGATTTCTAGTCTAAATTTTGATATCTATCTAGTTATTTTCATTTGATTAGAAAATTTTTAATTTCCACAGGCTTTACTAATATAATTTAATATAAAGATATTTCAAGTAAACTTTAGACGACGGAAATTAAATTAGGTTACGCTTGCTTTGAGGTGTTCGTAGAGCAGGACATCCTAACCTATTTGGTTTCTGATCACCAATCCGTTCTTGCCTTAATATTGTTGGGCCTGAATATGATTAATCAAGCGGTCTATATATAATCAGGACGCTGTATAAGATAATTAATGTGTTATAGGTGGCTCGGAGGTAATTAGTTTAAGACAAGAGAAGGCATACGTGTTCACTCGCGTATTAATATTGCATAATTTCTCCCGTATTCTAGTACTAGGGCTTTGTTCGTACGGAGTATGGTCTGGTTCTCTATTGTGTTGTGTTTTGTGTGTGATGATGAAAAGTTAATTGAAATTGACTGCAGATTTATCATAATAGATAGACTGAGTGCTGAGTGGGCTTGATACTGGAATAGAATATTTTTGTGTGATCTAATAATTTGTTGATCTGGATCTGGGTGGAAATTATTTACTTTTGTAAACAAAAACAAATCCTAGTTTAAGTTAAAAAAAATTTGAGTTTTAATGTGCTTCATTTTATATTATACCATACTAGCAAACCCGGCGGCGAACTCCGTTTCGCCACCAGATGGCTTCGTTTTATCTAACATTTTGTTTGGTGATAAAAAGATGAAGAAACATTTTTTTTTCATATTTTATAAACCTCACGAAGCCCGAGACCTTTCCAACGAATGCAAAACCGTGGAAATCAGTTCGTGCGTTTTGGAGTTATAGCGTCAGGAAGGAAAACCCGACTTATTTTTATATAGTAGATTATACCATATTTCACACTTGGGACTAAGACAGAACATAATAAGAACAGCAAAGATTTTTTCATTGCTAAAATAACTCTGTTTGACTAGTACACAACCATGTTCTTTGAATTTTAGCACATAATTCTCGTGTTATCTTCTCAGCTACGTTCGACTAAGAAATAAAAAAGTACCATTTTACCTTTTGTACACATCAGACTGCAGTGTGCAGTGTTGTCTCCAGTACCTACTTTATATTTTCATTAAGACAGAAAGCCTGTAACCCTGACTGCCAGTACACTCAGGCTTCAACGTCATCAACGTCATCAACCTTCAGTGAAAAAGCTGACGCTAATGCTATTTTTAAAAAACTTCTTCGTTCGTAAAGATGCTCTGAATAAAAAGACTTAGGTAAAAGTATCGAATAGATTTTTCTTTGATTTTTAACAAAGAAAACAAAACATTCTTAAATTATTGAATAAAAGTTTGTTTTTGTGAACAATACTTAAAATTTTAAGTCGTATTTGGAATTGTATGTTTATTTTTGGAAAAGACTTTGTGAGTTTAGTAGAGAAAAGTTGTGAGAAGCGATTGGCGAGCTAGACAAACAAAGTGATACATAAATATATTGATTAAACATTAATATTGTGATATTTTCCTTATGACATTCCCCGGGGCATTACATAAACAGAACAAGAGTAGTTATTTATTAACTGACTATCGTATCATGTCGCATATACTCGCCATATTTCGGATTATTCATATTTATATGAAAAAGGAGGTTGTTGTAGATATTTGCCGTCTTATAGTTGCCATAAAATTAACTTGTCATTTTCTTATTTCATATTTAAGTTTTTTCTTTTATAAAATAGTTATCAGTAAGTTGCTTTCTAAGGAAATAAATAAAAAGTAATAATAAGTCGTCAGCATCATGATATGTCACTGTCACTGTAACACTGAAGGGCAAACGTATCTTCTCATATAAAGTAGGTATTAGCTTCGTCACTTACTTAAGTCTGACAAAACTAAACGAAAATTACGAAACAAAAAGATGCAACAAACCTACAAACCGAACCAAGAAGGAACTAAGTCACGTGGAAAAGAATACAATTTGGCATCCTCACTAT